GCGCGACAGCGGCGAGCTCATCGTGAAGGGCAAGAAACGGTCCACGATCGTGGAGCCGCTCCTGGCCGGGCGGGAGTACACCTTCGAGGTGCAGGCGATGAACTCCGTGGGCTGGGGCCCCGTGGGCCCGCGCAGCTCTCCGTACAGGCTCGGGGAGGCCGAAACGACCCCCGACCCTTGAAGGTGTTTACCTGCATGGATTCGTCGTCCTCTCCCTGCCCTCGGGGTCCATTTCGATCCGATCTTTCCGGTTCGACGTAGATTCTGGCCGAACCGACCCGGTGTCGACATGTGGTCGAAAAGGCTTCTGATGTGTACGATGGAAGGCGTATCAAACCTTACCCCCCTCCAAAAATAGGGAGGGGGGGATTCAACCCCGCCCCTCTCCAGCGTGAAAGTCGGGGAAGGGTTCAAGGGGGTTCAACCCTCTCTCCCCCCTTTGGGCGCCAGCGAGGACGATGGCGACGACGCCCAGCGCCAGCAAACGACGACGACGACGTGTCCAGCCCGACAAACTCGCCCACCACGACGACGTAATCATCCCGCCCGACCGACTTGCCCATCACGTCGGCGACGTCGCGTCTTGCCCGCCCGACCAGCGGACAGACAGACAGACAGACAGACAGACAGACAGACAGACAGACAGACAGACAGACAGACAGACAGACAGACAGACAGACAGACGCCATGCACAACATAGGTGCGTTGGCAGAAGTTGTGAGACATACTAGACAATTGGGTGAAACGGCAAGCGTGCTAAGCATAGGAGGAGGAGGAGGAGGAGGAGGAGGAGGAGGAGGAGGAGGAGGAGGAGGAGGAGGAGGAGGAGGAGGAGGAGGAAGGGGGCTGAACAACTATAGTGGCTGAAGGCAGAAGCGCTTTGCGCGGGCGCGCCATGCCATCCGGCCTTCCTGCCATATCTGGCGCAGGGTGTCTTTGCAGCCAGCTAATTCGCACGCCATGCTAAAAACACAGCGCGTCCACGTATTTCTTGGCGGCGCCCGCCCGGGCGGGCCAAATCGGCGGTGCCGGGCTCAAAGATACACCTCCTGATTGGGCTGCCGTCTGGGAGCTGGACAATGTCACCTATGAATGCGAGTTGGCGGTAGGACAAGAGAGAACTTAAAGCATGGCTTCTGCACGTATGCCGCACGGAAGCGTTGCTCACCCGGCTGATGTACGAGTGCGGGGTGCCGGACAGTTTCCGCAAGCATCGTGCTTGGAATGCGTCCAATCTGTCTCGCTCCGCCTTGTTCAGCCAGATGGTGTGTAGGAAATATAACAGCTTCGAAACCACGCAAGACTCGAAGATGCGCACCTTTTTCTGCAAGCTCATTCTCATGTGCTTCCATATTTTACACAATGCATCAAAGTCCTTGCTGGCCATGGCTAATCGCCTGCTGAGCTCGGGGCCGCTACTGCCGTCATTGCTGAGAAGTCCACCCAAATACACAATATGAGTCTTCTGTAAGATGTTCTTGCCGTCTGGCGTCGCCATCGCTGTCTGGCAGTTCACGGACAAAATCTCCAATTCCCCCCAGTTGAATGCCAGTCCATACTGCTCCCCGACCAGCGGACTCCCCGGCAAACGACGACGACGACGCGTCGAAGGGGGTTCTCGCCTTGGAGGGGCGCGGGGGCAGGTTCCAGAGGCGGGGGGATCTTCGGGAGGGGCAGCTCCAGCGGGGGAGGTTGGGATGCTGTGTGAGCTGGGCGTGCGCAGAAGACGCTCTCCCCGATCTTCCGCTGATCCAGTGCGGGCCGAGGCTTGCACCAGGCGCTGTTGTGTATCCCGGCGCAGCCGATCCGCTCCGACTTCGGCTCCCCGCCAGCGCAGCCCGACTCCGACACCCCAGAGGAGGGACAATTTGCCCATACCGCTGCCCTTCGCCCGTCCTCCCCTCTGTCAGCCTCCTGGGAGGCCCTCGTCGCCAAACACCGCCGGACTCGCCTCGACGCCCTGGTCACAACGCACCGTGAGCGAGGCCCGGGGAGGTTAAGGGTATCGCTACCTTTTTGGTTTTCCCAGACAGACGATCAAGCGCGTCGTGCACCTGACAATCTTGCCAAGTAACACTGGTTCCATTCGCTTCCCTTTCAGCAGTTTCAGGCACTTTTAGCTGTCTGTTCAAAGTTGGTGTTCCATACTTCCCTCATGATACTTGTTTGCTATCTGTCTCGAACCAAGATTTAGTCTGAGATGACATGAACTACCCAATTTAGGCTCCAATTCCGAGGAACGCGACTCTCAGAAGGTATACGCGTCCCGAGTCGAGCCGACGCCTCCCGATCCGATGCCAGCCGATCCGGGGCTCCCGGCCCCCTCGCGGGCAGGGCCGCCCCCCTGCGAGGGCCGCAGGCCCGCCCTCCCAGCACTGCCCTCCCAGCGGGCGCCCCCCCCCACGGGCGCCCCCAAAAACTGCTTTTTCAGCGGGCGCCACCCCGACGGGCGCCCCCCAGCCCGAGCCGAAAGCTGCCCTTCCAGCGGGCTCTCCCCCCCACCCCGGAGGCTTCACGACTCCCTCAGATTGGGCGACGCGCATTGGGGGGCCGATCAATGAGAGGGGCAGCGAGGGCTGCAGAAAAGGAGCCCTCTAGGGCCCCGAAGCGAGCCCGTGGGGCCCGAAATATTATTAGTGGGCGGCGAGCGTGGGGGGGGGGAGAAGGAGAAGGCCTATCGGATCGGCGGCGAGCGGGGGGGGGAGTGAGCAGGATTACTCCTTTTCAGAAGGCGGCGGGACTTCTCAGAAGCCGCCGCGCCTTCCGAGGAGTTGTTTGCGTATTCGGGGAGGGCTAATGAGAAGACCCGCCCCCTCTCAATTCCCCCCCGCGTTCGCCGCCAACTCTAGGGGGCTTTGGTGGGTTTCTCGGGGGCCTCTTTGGGCGTCTTCGGGAATTCCTGGCCCGTCGGCCGCCGTCGGAAGCCGTCTTGAGGGCCTCTCTGGGCCGACTTGGGGCCTTTTTGGCGTGTTCCAGGGCCGTCTTGGAGGCCATCTTGGGCGTCTTGAAGACCTCTTGGGCCGCCTTGGAGGCCTCTTGGCCGTTCGGGGGCCTTCTTGCTTGGAGGCCTCTTGGGCGATTTTGGGGCGATGTTGGGGAGCTTTTGGGCCGACTCGGGCCATCGCAAGGCTGAAAAGAAGCACGTGCCAAAATCCTTCGAAAACCAATGGATAGTCAATCCCTCTTGGGCCGTCTTGGAGACCTCTTGCGGGCCGTATTGGGTCATCTTGGAGCCATCTTGGGTCGTCTTGGTGGGCTCCTGACCCGTCTGACGCCGTCGGAAGCTCTCTTGGGGGACTCTGGGCCGACTTGAGGCCCTCTTGGTGTGCTCCAGGGCCGTCTTGGGGTTCGTTGAGGCCGTTTTGTGGGCTTCTTGGGCTGTTCTGGGACCATCTTGGAGGCCTCTTGGGCGATCTTGGAGCGATTTTTGGGGGCTCTCGGGCCGTCGCAAGGCCGAAAATAAGCAAATACCGAAATGCTTCAAAACCCCTGGACGATCAACGCCTTTGGCCTTTTCGAGCCTTCCTGGAGGCCTTTTTGGCGGCCTCTTGGGCAGTTTTGGAAACCTTTTGGGGCCTCTTGGGTCATCTTAGTGCCATCTTAGGCCGTTTTGAAGGCCTCCTGGCCCGTCTGACGCCGTCGGGAAACCGTCTTAGGGGCCTCTCTGGGCCGACTTGGGGCTCTTTTGGGGTGCTCCAGGGCAGTCTCGGAGGCCATCTTAGGCGTCTTGGAAGCCTCTTGGATCGTGTTGGGCCCTCTTGGGGCCGTCTTGGGTTTTGGGTCGAGGATGTCTCGTGCGAAACGTTCATTCTTATCAGAGGGCGTCTTGGGCTAGGATCCCCAAGATCGCGATTGTTCGAAGATGTCCCCAGCGATACGGCCTTTTTGGGAGACGTTGGTGGCGCATCGGGCGGGCCATTTCGGATGGCCAGCGCGCTGGGCCAGAGCCCAGGGGGGATTTGTTTTAAGAACCAAAACCAAACCAGTAGAACCTAGCACGCCAGGCACCCCTGCGGCGGATCGAATGGCCTTCGGCCCATCCCGCCGCGTGCCTGGATTGTCGGTCGTAGGCCTCTTGGATGTTCGTGGGGGTGTCGTGGGAGGCCTCTCGGGGGCCTCTTGGAGGCAGTTTTAAGACCTCGTGGGGACCGTTTGGGGGCTTCTTGGTGGCCTCTTGGGGGCCTCTTGGAGCGAAAAGCTCGACATTGTCCACTTGGGCGCCCCATCTTGGGGCCTGGGCCCTCTTCGGGGCATGGTGGACCGTCTTGTTGTTGCGAGTTGAGGCCCTCTTGGGATGCCTGTTGGGCCTCTCTTGGAGCGTCTTGGGCGCCTCTTCAACCGTTGTCGAGCCAACTTCGTCGTCTTAGACTGATTGTTCCGCGATTCTGGGCCCTCTTGGACCGTCTTGGGGGCCTCTTGGGGCGTTCTTGGCCCGTGTTGGGGTTTCTTTGGGCCCGAAATAATCATGTGACAAGACGCGCCGAAGCCCGGGGGGCAGGCGCCAAGCCAAAGAAAATTTTGAATTTGGGGTTCTGGCACTTTGAAGAAGGGGATCAGGACAAGGACATTCCAATTCGTGTCTCAGGGCGCAGTGGCGGATTTTATGTGCTAGCGGTATCGCCGGAGGTGGGCCGCCGAACCTGATTCTTTGATTTGCTTCTGGCGCTACCGACATCGCCTGGGGGGGGGGGGTACTGCGTGTTTCTTGGAAGACCAAGGCGCCGGCTCGCGGCCGCCCGGTAGGGGTTGGTGTCCCATCCCGCCGCGCTCGCCCAGGAGGATCTTCGATGGGTCTTCCAGCCACGGCGTGTTCGGGGGAGCGGGTCCTGGGCCCCGGAGGGCTGGTTTTGGTGACGGCGGGGGCCCGAGAATCGACCTGGGCAGGTCGGCCAGCGGTTCGAGGTCTCAGGGCTTCCCGCGGTGTCTGCGCGCAAGGCCCCCCTCCGCTGGAGTGACCTGTGGTGCGGGCCCCACAGGGGCCCCCTCTGGCGCTGGCTGGCGCGCTTCGGCTTGACATCCCGCACGCCCCCCCAGGTGTTCTGGGCCTCCTCTCAAGGAGCCCGAGTAGATGGGGTCGAAGGATCGCGCCGCATCGCCGATGCAGCGCCGATATGTGGCTCGATGTGGAGCCCGATTCCCTCCACGCCGACGGCGCCGATGCATCGGCGATGCAGTGCCGATGCGGCGCGATCCTCCGACCCCATCTGCTCGGACCCCATCTGGGAGGCCTCAAGAGACGCGCACCAAGCTCAGACACCCAGCGGCTCGTTTTCGATGGGTCCCACACCTTCGACCCAGGATCCTCCGCAACCCGAATTGTTCGGTCACGGATCTCGGTCGCGCCAAAATTTCGGCCGCGATTGGAGGGGGTCGAAATGCGGTAACGAACAGGCGGCGCGTCGGGGTCCAGGCGAGGGTTTCGAAGATGTCGGCAGCTCGCTCGTCGCCTGGAATTCGCGACTGGAGGCCGGGTTTCGGTCGCGGCTGGCTCGTCCACCTCATTTCCGGAAGTCGGGACCACTTCCCAGGGCCTGGCGTTTCATCCAGAGACGTGTTTTATTGTTGTCTGGGCTCACCAGACGGGGCTAGGACGAGGTAGATCCGTTCCACAGTGTTCCAGATCGCTCTCAGAGCGTTCTGGAACTCTCCGAGAAGGCCGCGGCGCCCGAGACATCCTCCAGAGCCGCCGGGATCAGAGATTCTCGACGCATCCTCGCCCGTTTTTGTCCTCATCCTGGCTTCGTCTCAGCCCGAAGCCGGCCTCCAGAGGCCGAGCGTCGTCCAGAAGAGTTTCCGCCAGGATGTTGTTTGGAGTGGCCACTGCCCCTGCCGGGGGTCGCTCCTGCGTGCAGCCGACCCTTCCCTCTGGCCCCCTCCTCCTCCGCATGCTGGACAGAGTGCCGGCCTCAAGCACATCCTCATCCCTGTGGTCGGCGTCTCCTCCTCACGGTGCCGATCGTGAAGGTTCCCGCTGTTTCTGAGGGCGCGCCCCTGAGATTGTCCTCGCCCGGGCCTCGCCGATCTCACAGGGACTGGGATGAGCTCGAGGCTGGCTGACGGACCGCCGCGCCAGAGAGGCTGCTGCCCGCGCTCCTGCCGACGCCCCCCGGCGAGCCGAAGCTCGTCTCGGCCGGGACCGAGTCGGTCAGGCTCTGCTGGGACGCCTCGGACTCCGTGGGCGCGGAGGTCGTGGAGCAGGCCGTGGGCTCCGCGTCGGGCGGCACGGCCGCGGCCGGCCACGCGCAGCAGGGGGGTGCAGGGGGAGGGGGGGGGCGGCTTCTCAGAAGCACCCTGCCTTTTAGGAGGCGCGGGCCTCGTCAACAGACGCAGTGCCGGCGCCTGCTGAGAAGCAGCCTCCTTCGAAGAAGCTTCCCCTCCTCCCCCGCCCCCCCCTGGCGCGCGCCGCCAGCGCGGGCTGCATACGGTCAGGGCGCTGAGGTGAGGACCACCTCGCAGTCGGGAGGGGTGCAGGTGTTCGGGCCGGGCCGTGGATCTGGGTCGGTCGGGGACGCCCCACGTGTTCCTTGTTCGGCCTTCCTTCTGTCAGCCACGCGCAGAGGGGGGTGGGGGGAGGGGGGAGGGCTTCTTAGAAGCACCCCTGCTTCTTAGAAGGCGCGGGCCTTATCTATAGATGTAAGGCCGGCGCCTTCTAAGAAGCAGCCTGCTTCTAAGAAGCCCTCCCCCCACCCCCCACCCCCTTGTGCGCGCCGCCAATTCTGGCAGCACGGTGGCTGCATCCATTGCCTCTATCGGAGGCAGCGATCGGGGGGAGGTAGGCGTAGGGGTGGACGCATCGCCCCCCAATCGCCCATTGATCGCCGATAGGGGCCCGATAGCCCCAGCCTGCCCAGGAAGGTGCGGATTCACGATCGGAGGCCTGTCGCCGATTTCTCCGCGATGTACCGCCGATTCCAGGTCGATGCATCCCCCCCCATGCCCGTCCCCCCCTACCGCGGTCCCTCAGTCTAGCCAGGCCCCCATCGCGGCGTGCACGCCTCCCTGGCCGAGCCGGGAGGGCGTACACCCACGCCGCTTCTGGTCCCGGGATGGGCCTGGCCCGCGGCAGTGGACATGCACAGACCGCGTCGCTCCACGGCCCTCTGTCGGCCGCCCGCCGACGTGGACACCCAGCGGCGGCAAACGGAGCAGGCATGGACTCTCGGACGTCAGCGCAGACTGCTCGGACCCGCGCTGGGCTTCCCTCCCCCGGGTGCGCCGAGCGCGCCAGGGGCGGCTCCGGCGGCGCCGCCAGGGGGGCCCAGCGCCGATCCAAGAAACCCGCGCGGACCTCCGGAAACCTACGCTTGTCCCATTGCTTATTCTTTGGCTCACGGCCGTCGTTCAACATTGGGCGATCCACGGAGTGTCAGAAACCAGCGCCTGCGTCAACGCGACGTGATTTTTCCGTACAGCACCTTGGTACTGTTGTCTGCGGATCGGCAGGTTTAGCATGCTCATATACCTTTGCAGGAAAGAGGGACGGGGGAACGAAGTGGGGCAAGGGCTAAGAGACGTTGTGGACATCGGCGCTCTGCCACGCGCACGTTTTCTTTCGGCGTGCGGAGAGCAAAGCAGCCGCAGAGTCGAAGCTTGCGAGGCGGTGGATCGAGTGGCAGACACGTGCGGCGGACGTAAGCAGGGCAGGAGGGAGGTCGTACGTGCCAGGGGCGCGTGTTACAGGGCTGCGCAGGCGTCGTGGGGCAGCTTGGTACATGTGCCATAACTGAGTGGGAGCGCCTCTTGCAACGAGATTTTCGGTCAAGACGCGGAGACAAGGTTCATTTTGGGTTCAGGAGCGGCTGGCTGTTCCACATGTCATTCCATGGTCGTTCCCCTAGCGCTCATCAACACCCAGACGCTTTGGGGACCCTGCAGGGGCTTCGTCGTTGTTGAAAAGTGTCCTTACGGTAGCAGCTTGACTGTATGATGCATTCCGTGTTAGTCTAGGCACATGTGTTTATCATAATCGTTGCCCGAGGCAGAATGAGCATGAGCAGCAATGCGGATAGAGAGAAATTCGTTTGAGCGAGGTGAAACAGAGCACGATAGGAGAGCCCATGCGTGATGATGTTGACACTGCAGGGGGGGGGGTCGAGCTAGGAGCCCAGGTCGTGCAGATCTCCTACGACCCAGCTTTCCCCGACGGCAACTTCCTGGAATCATTGCAGCCGCCCTGGAGCCAGTCTATCGCCGTGGAGTATCCCCCTTCTGGCGGTGGCATGGCTGTGGTCCAGCAGCACGCGCCGTCGCACGGGCTGCCACCAGCGCAGGGGGGCGACGCGGCGGACCAGTCGGGTGATGCACGCTGGCCGCACGGCTGCGGGCCGCTCGGCACCAGCGAATCCCGCCTGGAAACGAGGTGGCAGCGGAAGCCAGGCGTTTTCAAGTGGGCGGAGTACGTGATACCGGGGCTCAGGCCAGGCACAGTGTATCACTTCCGTGTAGCATCGCGCAACAGGGAAGGCCAAGGACAGTTCGGGCCTGTCAGCGCCGCGATCTCCACCGCCTCGTCAGAGCCGGACGCCCCCGAGGACCTGACATCGCTGCACACGTCGAGCTTCGGCATCTCACTCGGCTGGCGGCGGGGAGACTGCAGGGGCGCGCCTGTCACGCACTACATAGTGCGCTACGCCGACGCAGAGGAAGTGCTCTCGACCGAGAACTGCCGCACCATCCAGCGCGTGGAGCTCGCGAGGGAGACTTGGAGTGGCATCTCTCAGCCAGAGCCGCTGCCCCCGAGGCCCCCCGAGGACCTCGAGCTTGACGCCGCGTGCGCCACCGAGGGGTCGAGGGACGCCATCCTCAGCCGCTTCACCGAGCACGTGCTGGCGCGCTTCTCCACCCTGGAGCTCGCCTGGCGGGCCCTCGACCCGTACGGCAGCGGGAGCGTCCGCGCGGCAGCCGCGCGCGGACCCCGAGGGTACGGCGTCGGGGAGCTGTTCCCGGACCTCGAGGACCCCAGGCTTGCCACGCGGGGTCGAAGTGGATGGGGTCCGTGGATCTTGCCGCATCGCTGATGCTTCCGCGATAGTCAGAAGAGGGAGAGGTACCGATACCGCTACGGTTCCCGCGTGTTCGCCTTCTTGGGGCTCCTGGGAAGCCCTCGTCGCCAGCTCGCTTCGTACACCAGGTCAGAACGCACCCCAAGAGAGGTCCCAGGAGTAGCGGTATCAGGATTTAGTTGATTTCCCCAGATAGGGCACGATTCGGAGCCCGATCTTCTCCACCCCGACGTCAACGGCGCATCGTCGATGCGTCGACGGTGCGACGCGATCCTCCGGCCCCATCTGCTCGGACCCCGACTGGGCAGCGTCAGCCATAAATCGGCGGCCAGCCCGGTGGGGAAGTGAGAGGGGGCGGGCCTTCTTAGAAGTTTCGGACCCCCCCTGCCTTTTCTCAGAAGGCGCGAGGGCCTCTGAGAAGCTCCGCCGCCTCCTGAGAAGGCATTCTCGCCGCCGAGGATGCGGTTGGGAGGAATGGTCCGATTATCCGTGTTATTGCGTATGTTGAATGGGTTTATTTCACAGTCGTGCCATGTGTTTTCCCAGCCCCTTCCTCCCAACATGGTGATTGTCTCTCTCACTCAGAGGACAGCTTCTTGGATGCTGTGTGGGCCAATCTCGGGGAGCTTGGCGCCGTGAGCCCACAGCACTTTGGGGCGCTGCAGCGCTACGCGGACCGCCTGCTGACCACGAGCCTGGGGCCGCCGGCGCTCTTCGAGGGCGCTCCCTCGCATGGCGGCCCGTGGTGCATGATCCAGGACTTGCAGCCTGGAGCGGCGTACTTCATGCACGTGTGCGCAGTCAACGCCATGGGCAGGTCCTCGTGGTCGCCAGCGTCTCCCCTTCGCCTGGTGACCCCCCCGGCGGTTCCTTGCAGGATGGCGCCTCTGAAGGGTGTCGCGAGCAAGCGCGCGCCCGATTCGGTGACCCTGCAGTGGTCGTTGCCCAGCTCCCACGGCAGCCCCGTGGACTGCGTGCAGATCAGGTGGTTCTGCCAGGATTGGGAGAGACGAAATCAACGATCGGAACAGCAATGCTCGATATAGCTTCGTACTTACATGTCTATGGTACCCGCGTGCCTTGCGATCGCCTGGGCCTCATATTGTCCCACACGCCTGCCAGAGCAAGGCCCTACGACTTACTTCAATATTCCAAGATGGGGCTCCTGTTATTGGCATTATGCCTCCGCCTCCCCCTCATTCCTCCCTCCTCCGCTCCACTCCTTAGACCCACTCATACTCAGCTACTAACCCTTATTCACTCACACGCGGATCCGTTCACACTTAGAACCAATCATATCTAGACCCAATCGTATTCAGATCTCTGGCTCGCGCACCCTCAGGCTAATTACTTCTCAGACTTACTGACATTCAGACTCACTCATTCCCAGCCTCGCTCCTCCCAACCACTCAGACTCAGATACAATGGTATTCAGCTTAGTGAGATTCTGAGTTCATACCAACTCACTCAGACACACACACACAGGCACACACACACACGCGCGCACACACAGGCTCAATCACACTCAGACTTACTCACACTCAGACTCACTTACACTCGGATTCTCACGTTCAGGCTCAATCACACCTTGGGAGGCTCTGTGAGGGCATGGGAGGCCGTTCGAACCGTGGGGATATTTGCAGGGGTCTCTTTGGGGGGACAGGGGGGAGAGCTGGGCAGCAACGGGCTGAGGAAGCATCAAGCGCACGCGAGCACGACACATCGACGCTGGGCAGAGTCGTGCATTCGGCAGCAGTTATCTTGTGGCCTGCGGCACATCCCGCCACTGCGCCTGGGTCTCTGAGGGGGCCTCTTGGTGGCCTCGTTGGGCGCGTCTTGAGGCCTCTTGGGGGGCTCTCGGGGATGTTGGAGTCTTGTCTCTCTTGGAAGGAATGCACGCGCTAGACCTTCTCCCGTTATTGGAACCAGCGCGGTGGAACAGACTTCCAGAATGACCAACTTGCAGGAGCCATGATCACATCAGACTTCAACGGGGACCAATATGCAGAAGACGCCTACGCGCACTTTGTCGTCCAACACCTCGAGGGACCGATCAGCGAGTCATTGGTGTAAAATGACCGGGGACGTGCCCAACTCCTCCTGCACGCGCGGCGACTGCTTTATGAACGCTTATACACAAGAACACGCTGCGAGGATACATGCAGCATTCTTAAATGCGTCGCCAAACAACGCCGGGCCGCGCACGTCGCACACCTGCGCAACTCAGAACGCTAAAGGGGCTGCGCAACTAGGTGGCTGCGACAAGCACGGCAAGCAGCTTAGAACGGGGAGCAGAGAAGGAGGAGGAGGAGTAGGTGGAGGAGGAGGTGGTGGAGGAGGAGGAGGAGGAGAAAGAGGAGAGAGGAGGACAAGGAGGATGAAGAAGGAATGGGAATAAATATTAATCTATACTTGTGAGAGTAGCAGCGCCACGCTCTACATCTGGTCGGTTGGCCCGTGCTGCCGCCGCGGGCGACAGGCGACGGAGGATGGGGGGGGTAAAGGGGCCACTCAGGAAAGAGCCATGCGATGTGTCGCCTGGACCTGCGTGACAATCTACTCCGCTGGACGATCCTGGGAGCCCACGAAGGCGGCGACAGTTGCGCAGTTGGCAGCTTCCCAGGGAGCCGCCAGGTGCCCACCGCCTCCGCTGGACGATCCCAGGAGCCCACGAAAGCGGCGGCGGTTCCGCAGTTGGCAGACTCCCAGGGAGCCACGAGGTCTCGCCTGCCTACCGCCTGCGCTGGACCTCACAGGAGCCCACGAAAGTGTCGATGGTTGCGGAGTTTGCAGCCCCTGAGGGAGCCGGGTCTCAGAATCGTCCGCGTTGCCCTCCACTACGCCTTGCTTCCAAGGAGCCAGCGGAGGTGGCGAGAGTTGCGCAGTTCGCATCCCCATGATGGAGCCGCGAGGCCTGAAAATTATCAGCGTGGCCCTCCACTCCGCCGTACCTCCCAGGAGCCCACGAATGTGACAACATTTGCGCGGTGCGCAGCCCCCGAGGGACCCGCGAGATCTCAAAATCATCCGCGCTGCCCTCACCTCCGCCGTGCCACCCAGGAGCCCACGAACGTGATGACATTTGCGCAGTTCGCAGGCCCCGAGGGACCCGCGAGGTCTCAAAACCATCCGCTGGCCCTCACTTCTGCCGTGCCTTCCAGGAGACAACGGAAGTGGCCATAGTTAGTTCGCAGCCACCGAAAGAGCGCACAGGATGTGCGAGGAGGTCTTCGGAGGAGGAGGTCGGAGGCGACGAGGAGGGGGAGGAGGAAGGTGGCGCGCGAACAGTGCATGTGGGTAGGCCGGTGGGGCCAAGGCCACGCCAGCGGGGACAAGGATCGGTTAAACAATGGTCATGGTATTCCTCTTCCCCATCGCCCTGTAGGTCGACTGTGGCTTATTGTATTGTGTGTTTGGTTTGTGTGGTGGTTTATCTCTTTATGTGTTGTTCCTCTCTCTCTTTCCCTGTCTGTCTTTTCACACGTATATACAAGACACGCGCGCGCTGAGATTCAAGCGAAGGCAAAGCCAGCGCCATATCAATCCGCGGATGGGCGCGCTTACCATCCCACCACGATCACCACGTGGGAACACCTGTGCAATCGTGGGAATCCATACGTATCTCAAGGGCGTCTTCCCGCATACTTCGGCACATCCTTCTCACGGATGGTGTACCTCCGGGAGCTCCATCTACGGTCCCAGAGACAAGGTTCGCACAGCGTTTCCCCGCCCATCTCGGCACATCCCTCACAGGGATCGTGCCCCACCGGAAGCTCAACATACAGGCCCAGGGAGGATTGGGAATAAAGCAGGATACAGGAGGAGGTAGGTTGCGACGAGGAGGAGAAGGAGGAGAAGGAGGAGAAGGAGGAGAGGAGGAGGGGAGGAGAACGGAGATCGCAGTGCTTTATTGAAAACGAGAACCCTGCACAGGTGGGTTGGGCGCAAATTGGGGATCATCCTCAAAGCGAATTTGCTCCCATCTGAAGCAACCTGGGTGAATTGCGAGTTCCTGAGATTGCGCGTAGGCGGTGGCAGGGCAGAACGAATAGGTGGTACGGTCACACGAATATGATGAATATGGGCGCTGGCCGGCATTTCGGTCGAGTCAAAGATTCCTCCTGCTTCGCGGGGTGCACGTCCGGAGCACGTGCAGTCCAGACGTTGTGGAGCCTGGTGGAAGTCTCTTTGGGACCTCTTGGAGGCCTCTTGTGGGCTTCTGGGGCCTCTTGTGGGCTTATTTGGGGCCTTTTGGTGCATCTTGGGGGCGTCTTGGGCCAACTTGCGGCGCTCTTGCGCCGCGTGGCTCCTTCGGAGGCCATCCTATAGTCCTCTTGCGGCAGCCTTAGGGCTCTCTTGGGGTCCTCTTGGGCCGTCTTGGGGTCCTCTTGGACCGTCCTGCGGGCCTCTTTGGGCCGTCTTGGGACCCGCTTGGGCCGTCTTGGGATCCTCTTGGGAGCCTCTGGGGCCGTCCTGGGACCATTTTGGAGGCTGCTTGGGCCGCCATGTGCCTCTAAGGATACAAAGACGAGAACGCTAAAATTGTCAAAAACCTAAGGAATAATTATCCTGGCGAAGGACCCAACCATACGCAGTTGTGCATACCGCGTTGCGGGTACCAGTTTCGGTGGAGCTCCCTATGGAGCCACGAACCGTGTGTGGGGTGTCCCGAAATGGGGCGGCGTTGCCATGCGGACCCTCTCGCTGCGGCCTTCGGTGGAATTCCCTAGGTGGCCACGAACCATGTGAGGGGTGTACCGACATTGGGCGGCGGTGCCATGCGGACCTTGCCACTGGGGCTTTCGGTGGGTCTCCCTATGGGGCCACGAAAACGTGTGAGGGGTGTGCCGAACTGGGGCGGCGGTGCCATGCGGACCCTCCCGCTGGGGCCTTCGGTGGAGCTCCCTAGGGGGCCACGAAACGTGTGAGGGGTGTGCCGACATGGGGCGGCTGTGCCATGCGGACTCGCTGGGTCCTCTGGTGAAGCTCCCTATGGGGCCACGAAACGTGTGCTGGGTGTGCCGAAATGGGGCGGCGTTGCCATGCGGACCCTCTTGCTGGGGCTTTCGGTGGAGCTCCCTATGGGGCCACGAATCGTGTGAGAGGTGTGCTGAAATGGTGTGGCGGTACCATGCGGACCACCCCGCTGGGGCCTTCGGTGGAGCTCCCTGGGGGGCCACGAACCGTGTGAGGGGTGTGCCGACATGGGGCGGCGGTGCCATGCGGACCCTCTCGCTGGGGCCTTCGGTGGAGCTCCCTATGGGGCCACGAAGCGTGTGAGGGGTGTGCTGAAATGGGGCGGCGGTGCCATGCGGACCCTCCCGCTGGGTCCTCTGGTGGAGCTCCCTATGAGGCCACGAACCGTGTGAGGGGTGTGCCGACATGGGGGGGCTGTGTCATGTGGGCACTTCCGTTGGGACTTTCGGTGGAGCTCCCTATGGGGCCACGAACCGTGTGAGAGGTGTGCCGAAATGGGGCGGCGGTGCCATGCGGACCCTCCCGCTGGGGCCTTCGGTGGAGTTCCCTATTTGGCCACGAAACGTGTGAGGGGTGTGCCGAAATGGGGCGGCGGTGCCATGCGGACCCTGCCACGGGGGCCTTCGGTGGAGCTCCCTATGGGGCCACGCAACGTGTGAGGGGTGTGCCGAACTGGGGCGGCGGTGCCATGCGGACCCTCCCGCTGGGGCCTTCGGTGGAGCTCCCTAGGGGGCCACGAAACGTGTGATTGGTGTGCCGACATGAGGCGGCTGTGCCATGCGGACCCGATGGGTCCTCTGGTGAAGCTCCCTATGGGGCCACGAACCGTGTGAGAGGTGTGCCGAAATGGGGCGGCGGTGCCATGCGGACCCTCCCGCTGGGGCCTTCGGTGGAGCTCCCTATGGGGCCACGAACCGTGTGAGAGGTTTGCCGAAAGTGGGCGGTGGTGCCATGCGGACTCTTCCACGGAAGCCTTCGGTGAAGCTCCCTATGGGGCCACGAAGCGTGTGAGGGGTTTGCC